GTCACCATCTCTGAGACGCGTCTCCATTTTAGAAGCGCAATGGAACGGAGGAGGAGAGGGAGAGAAGACGGAGGAGGAGATAGAGAGAAGACGGAGGAGAGGGAGAGAAGACTTATCTTTATCGCTGAATATTTGTCGTGCGGCTTCTAGATCTGCGACCTCCACTGCCTCTTCCTATCTCTCTATCATTTAGACTAGTGGACTAGGTCAAATAACTGGGCTAGATTCATTAATAGACTATTGGACCTTCACACAGGAGTATAAGGCCCAAAATTTAACAGGCCTTTTAAAAGCACACTTTATATATATATATATATATATATATATACATACATACATACATATATATATATATATATATATATATATCAGTGTTCATTTTAATTAATTATTTCATACTATATGCTTTAACATTAATACCTATAAAATTATTATGGTCGCCATAGCCTACTCGCCCAGCGGACGCCTAGGCGGGCGCCTAATCGCCTAGGCGACTGGAAGGTGCTCTAGCGCCCAGCCTCGCCTAGCCGCCTTAACAACTATGATCCACATAATATTTGTGCTACCAAACACCAAAATTGGAATTGAAGTCCTCAATTCCAATTCCAGAATTTCAATTCCGTATACCAAACGGGGCCTTATTACTCAATTCAATCTTGTTCAACATCATAATCTATGTAAGTCTTAATGTAAATATAGATGGCAACTCACAAGGTAACAAAATCATAACCCGTTGTGAATCCCATCATTCGTAGTCATCCTTCTGACAAATGTTGAATGATTGAAGTGTTTTTCGTTTTTCTTAATTTTCTTTCTTTTTCTCATCAACAAATTTATTCGTGACCTGTTTGCAGGTTCGCCCTGGCACTCAACCTGGACAAAAAGTTGTACTGAAAAAGAAAGGTATTTGCAGCAGAACATTTTCTATGACACACTTTATTGTCTGTCAAGCACACGATTGCACAAGCAGAAAAATAGATGCTATGTATAACGATGCTTTGTTTGCATCATAGGAAATAGATACTGTGATTTTGAAATAAATTAATACTTTTGTTGTGATGGGGTGCAGGGATAAAAGCAAGGAATTCATATTCATTCGGGGATCAGTTTGTTCACTTCAAAGTCGGCATTCCAACGTATGTTTG